GTGGGGGGATTGAAAGCCAGTAGGGGGCCTCGTTCTCATGCGCCGCGGCGGGGCGCGGTGCGGCGGCAGCCATCTCGTCCTCGGCCCCGCGCCGCGCCGCTCAGGGGGCGGGGCCCCGCGCACGCGCTCGCGCTCGCGCACGCGGGATGGTGTCCGTGGGCCGCTGGGCGTGCGCGAATGGGAGCGCGCCGCACCGCGGCGCATGCGCACGCGCCCCGATGGAGGCGGAAGTTCCGCGCACTGTAAGCATCCCTTGGTCAAAATGGCGGCGTTGGCGCTGAGGAGCGCTTTGGTCCCGCAAGTCCTGCCGGAGCGCTGCTACGACGAGTTTTTCGTCAACTTCAACCTCTTGCACAGTGAGTGGCAGCCTCCCGGTTTCTTTGGGCGGGGTCCCGGAGTGTCGTTGTCGCGGCAACGCTGCCCAGGCGGAAGCGCCTCGAGGCGACTGGCGGCCATCTTGGAGAAGGGTGATTGCTGCTGGCCGCCATCTTCGCCGGCGGAGGGAATTAGGGGGCGGCCATGTTGGAAGCGGGCGGAAGCGGCAACTCGAAATTATCCACCGGGCGTAAACCCCCACGGCACTTCACCACTTGTGGATTGACTCATCCCTCAGTTTTGTATCTGGCTGAGGCGCGCGATATACTCTGCAAATCTGGATCTTCATGATCCTTTGAATGAAATAACGAATGCACAGAAAAAACGGAACGAGGGAAGCCGTTGGGCGCCATGTTGCTTTGGGGCGAAGCTTTTTAATCTAGCCAATGGGATTCCAAGCCCCGCCTCCTCCTTCCAGCCGGGCCCGCCTTCAATAGTTACATGACAGGTAGACGCCTTCCAGGTGCAGCAGTTTGTGATGGGGAGAACTTTCCCCGATGAACTTCCACCTGCAGGAAGAAAGATGGTTACCGACTCCACCGGGGGATTATTGCATGGCTTGGCAGGAATGACTGGCCAGCTGAAACTGCCGGTCCTCAAAGGAAATGTTTAGGAATAAATAACAGAGGCTGCAAACTGAATGTTATGCACAGTGATAGTATTACATTTCGTTTTGTCTGTGTCCTTCTTTTCATTCTTTTTAGTTCCATGCCTCAAAATCCTCATCAGCAAAGCTCTTGGATTTGCCATTGTTGCTGGTTCTCTGATGGGTATGAACCCTTAAACTTTTCGGACAGATACTTGGTCATTGTTAATGTGGTGCCTGTTATTGTTTGCATTTCATTTCCTTCTGATTTTGCTGTTTACAATTCTTCCCCCTTCCCTCCCCGATGTAAACCTGAAACTCGGTCATACTTCATAATGCATCTCGTGTAGTGAACGATAGTCCATGAAAGTTTATGCCACTGTAAATGCACTGGTCTTTAAGATGACCCAGATATCTTGGTTGTTTTGGCTGGAATAGAGTAACACATAGCTGATTTCTGGAAAGTAACATTTACTTGTGTGAGCTGCTGGCACTTAAATCTGCGTGCAATTCGGCTGTCTTAACTGAGCTGAAAACCCCTCTGAGGCTGACAGGGCTGACTTGGCAGGGAAGGAAAGGAAAGGAGCTGCGTGTAATGGGCTCTTGCGTTCTGGGGCTCTGCTTAAGACTTAAAACTTAGCTCTTGTAAACCCAGCTTTAGATTGAATCCAACCCCATTTTCCTCTAATGATTCATTTTTGATCAGTTCTGCAACCAAGAAAACTCACAGCTGGTAGTTTCCTCTGCACTAAGTTGGTGCGGTGAGCAAAGTAGAAGAAAAGTGCTCAGAGTTTGCTTATAGAAAAGTGCTTACAGAATTTAAGTGGCATTGAGCGTCTGCTGTCAGGCTCTTACCCAGAGAAGGCGGACAAGGAATCAGCCAGTGTCCCAAGCTGTGCCCCGTGACTGGCAACTGGGAGAAGAGGGTCCTCTCGCCCCCTTCATCCTTCGCTTGCCCAAGGGTGGAGGCAGCTGCGTCCTTTGGGAAGGGGGTGGGAGAGCATTCGGTGAGGCCACCCGGGCTTCTCACCATCACCGTGTTCCGCCCACTTTCCACAGTGAAGTTGCCCCAGATCTTCAAGATCCTGGGGGCCAGGAGCGCCGAGGGCCTGAGCTTCCATTCCATCCTGCTGGAACTGACAGCCATCACTGGCACCATAGCCTACAGCATCGCCAACAGCTTCCCCTTCAGGTAGGGCAGCACCGGAGGCTGCAGGGTGAGTCCCACCTGCAAAATGCACCCTCACCTCGTGCCGGGCGTGTCCCGGCCTCCCAGAAGAAGCTTCGTGGCAAGTGGGGGGGCAGCGGGCTCTGTGGGGAGCTCGGCTCACCCTTCCCTGCCCCTGCCGGAAAGAGCCTCCATGAGGATGTTGTGGCGAGAACTGGGCCGGGGGCTGCCTCTCCCCCTGTGCCAGCTCCGTAACCCCACATTTCGCTTCTGGGGGGCTTTCTGACTGTGGGTCTTGCTCTTTGCAAGCTGTTTGGAGAGTCCTTTGAGCCGAGGGATTGTGAGCCGCCGCCAGGCAGACGATACTGAAGATCGCGAATTAGTCCTGCCGCTATTATTATTTGTGGTGGGAGTGGGGGTGTCCTGGCTCCACCCCGCGAGCCAGCCTGGGGAGAAGGGGTGCCCCCGTCGCACTTGCAGCCTCACCCCCATCAAGCACGGGAGGGGAGGAACGTCCTGCGGGGGGCAGAGGGCAGGCCTGGTCCCCCGCTGAGGATGTGTGAGGGGCCCCTTGCCCGGCCCCTCTCGGCCCTGTTCCCACTCGCTCCCCCTTTTCTCCCGCACAGCTCCTGGGGCGAGGCGCTCTTCGTCATGATGCAGACCGTGGCCATCGGGTTCCTGGTGCAGCATTTCGGGGGGCACACGGCCCGCGGTGCGTGGGGGCCAGGGCTGCGGCACGCGCGGTGTGGAGGCACAAGCGCCCGGTGAACCGGGAGCCGGGCCCCCGGCGGGTTTAGGTTTTCCCATTGGGGGGAAGGGTGTTTTTCAACCTGAAGAGCCACAAGAGGGGTGGGGGAGGGGCTGCGTGGGTGGGTGGGAGATGTGGGGGAGCAGAGGGGCGGTGCGGGGCAGGGCAGCCCCCCCCCCAGGTCACCCCTGAAGCCGTTTGGTCCCCCCTGGCTGTGGCCCTAGGTGGTCCTGAGCCCCCTGGTGCTCAAGGGGCCCAGAAGCTTCCTATTTCTCTTCCAAATGCGTGTGCAGGTTCCGAGATGCTGGCTTCTGAGTAGGAGCTCCATGCACGGGTGGTTTTGGGAAGCGTGCGCCTTGCCATCTCCATCTGCACTGCCGCGGGGGGGGGGGCGGGGGCAGCCGAGGTTTCTGGGGCCAGGTGGAGAGGCGCCAGCTCCGCACGCCCTCCGCAAGGAGACCCGAGCGAGGAGGCGGCACCGGCTGGGGAGGAGGGCCTGGGCACGGGCCCCGCCAGCCATGTTTCCGCGCAGAGCGCCAGGTGACGCAGGCCGCCTTTCCCTCCCGCAGGGCTGTCCTTCCTGCTCGTCTATTTCGGCATCCTCTCCCTCCTGCTGTCCTCCCTCACCCCCGTGGGAGCGTTGACAGCCCTCCAGGCTTTCAATATGCCTGCCGTCGTCATCAGCAAGGTAAGCGCCGTCCCGGGAAGCCTCCGCCCTGGAGCACCCCTTCCTCAAGAGAGGGCAGGCCTCTCCTCCCGCCTCTGCTCGGGCCCCCGAGCTTGGCCGGTTCGTTCCCCCTGCAGACGGGCGCTGGACTGAGCTCAGCTTCTGGCCGAGAATCATCTCTGGGAAGCCTCCTGCTTCCTAGATCTGTGTCCCCTCGGCCAGGCCTGCACGGCGCACCCAGGTGCTGGAGCAGGTGGTTCCTGGAATGCTGCAGCTCCCAGCAGGCTGGGCAAAGAGAGGCGCTGGCACCCAGCACCACCAGGGGCACTGGACTGGGGAGGCGGGGTGGGCGAGGGCCCCACTGAGGCACGGGGGGCCTGGCAGGGCAGCTCACAGCCTCGTCTCCTCCGCAGCTCCTGCAGGCAGCCACAAACTACCGCAACGGGCACACGGGGCAGCTGTCGGCCATCACGGCCTCCCTGCTTTTCGCGGGGTCCCTGGCGCGCATCTTCACCTCCGTCCAGGTAGGCGGCGCTCGTTCTGTGACCGTAAGCGCGGGAGCTTTGCTGCCGAGATGGGGGGAGGTTCGGCCCCACCCCACAGGGGAGCCCCCATGGCCGGTCCGCGTGGGTCCGGGGCAGTGCTGCTGCTGCTCGGCTGGCGGAGGCAGCCCGAGGCTGCCCTGCCGGAGGACCCCCTTCGCCCCTTTTCCGCCCAGGACTCCTCAGCCAACGGGCATCTGATCCAACCAGGCCGGATCAAAACAACCAGGCCGGATCAAAATCACAGATTAAAAGCCAACAGATTGAGCTTTTACATTTTTAAAAATGAATGCGGTACTATTTTGCTCTTCCTTTCAAAAGAATTGCAATTCAATCCCATGCCATATTGCACTTAAAATATCCGGAAAAGGCAATTAGCTGCCCGTCAGCTGTTGGCACTCTGTCTGTTCTGCATCCTCCCACCAAAACGGCTCAGCCTCACTCTCCCGCTCGCTCTCGCTTCCTGAAAACTCTGCACGTTCTCCCGAGTCCCGTACGCAGAGGCCAGGCCAGGCGAGAGGGCCGGGTGTCCTCCGGAAGCCCAGCGCTCTGCCGCGGGTCGCCGTGCGGCGCTTCGCCCACTCGCCGCTTGTGCAGGGAGTTCGAATGGAGGGGGGGCAGCAGGCCTCCGGGGGGGGGGGGGTGCGTGCGCCGCCCTCCCACAGCCGCCCCCGCCAGGCCTCCTGCCCGCCCTGTCTTTTTATAAAAGCCCGGCTTGCCACTGGCCGTCCTCAGAGTGCAAGTGGCCACGGAAGGATGGTGGGAGGCCGTTTGCCACCTTCCTGCGCCCTGTGAGTCTCGGGCGTGTGTCTGGGGAGGGGGACACACAGACCTCCGAGCCTCTCCCTGCGAGGGAGGACAGCTCCGTTTGCAGGCAGCGCCCGCTCAGGGCTCGCGGAAGAGCCTGCATGCTCCGGAGTGCAAGCAAAAATTAAATAAAACGGAGTGCAGCCGCTCCGGGGTGCCGCGCGGGCCCCTTCGAGGGGCCGCTGCCAGCGGTGGCCGGCCGGAGCGTGCCGAGAGCCCCTCTCGCCAAAGGCTGCACTCGCCTTTCTCCGCCTGTCCGGGCCAGCCGCTCAGGCGTGAGCGCAGGGCAGGCCCGGGACTTCCAGGCGGGGTTTTCCAGGCGGCCCGTGTCTTCGGGCAAGTCTCGTTCCCCCAGCCAGCTGCCCGCAGGGGGTCGTCATGCCGGGCAGACTGGGGCAGCCGGAGCAGGCGCTGAGCAATCCGGCTTCGCAGCCCAGCATTCAGGGCAGGGGCGCATCGGCGATGAAACGCGCCCCTTTTCTGGCGGGCTCCGTCCTGCCCACCCCCAAGCCGGCCCACGGCTCACAGGCCACGGCAGAGCCCAGCGGGGCCTGGGACCGGGGGTGGGCCGCGGGCGGGCCGCGGGGCCCGAGCTCCTGGGCAGGGGCAGGGAGGGACGCCGCTCGCCCGCTTGCCTTCCAGGAGACCGGCGACCCGCTCCTGGCCCTGACCTACGTCGTCTCCTCCGTGTGCAATGGCGTCATCATGGGACAGCTCCTCTACTACTGGGACGCCCCAGCGGACAAGCGCAAGAAGGCGTAGCCGGAGCCCCTCTCCCGGCTCGGGCAGGAGCCCCGCGAGGCCGGGGAAGCACCGCGCCCCCCGGCCGTAGGGACACGCGCCCGCTGGCCTCGCGGGCCCCCCTTCGCACGCTGAGCCGAGGGACGCTGCCGGTTGCGTGCCCCGCGCGTGGCGGGACCCGGCAGACGCGTCCTCCAGTCTGTACCTCTGTCCCCCACAAACAAACAAATGGTTTTCCAACGAAATACGCCGCCGTTCTTGATCACCGCCCCGGCTCTGCAGTTGCAGTAGACCCACCAAGGAGCAGGTTCGGGGCCTGTGCGGGTCTCTGCGGGTGAACTTCTGCCTGGCAGTGTCCCGCCCTCCGCCAGCCGCTCCCAGCTGCAGTGGATGCCCGGGGGGGAAGGTGGCTGCTTCTGCCTGATGGGTGGGCCGGGCTGGGCAGGGCATCCTGACTGGAGGCAGCTGTGGGCAGGGAGGCGAGGCGGCCAACACACCTGCCGGGAATTTCTGGGCCTGCATCAGGCGGGGGGGAGCCCCCGCAGCATCTGGGGAGGGAGGGAGGGAGGGGGCTGCTGCGGGTGCAGGCGCCTGGGAGCCCCTCTCCGCCCAAGGGCACCACATCCTGCTGGCCTCTGCTGCGGAGCTGTCCCAGAGCTTCCCAGCATCTTGAAGCAGCCCCCTGGGGGTGGGGGGCCGGGGGCCACATGCTCCCGAGGCTGCAGGTGGAGAGCACTCCTGTCACCTAGGGGGGGCCTGCCTTGGCCAGGCGAGGGATGCCAGGCCGGTGAGGGGCTCCCCCACCGCCTCCCCGCTCGGGGGCACAGGAGGCGGCCTGGCTTCCATCCGCCTCATCTGCCCACCCACACAGCCGGGTCCCCGCCTGCGTCCCGAGCGGCACGGGCGGGGGGGCATCCTCGTCCAGGCTGCTGTGACTGCTGGGAGACGCAGCCGGGCCAGCAGGGCTGCCGTTCCAACGCACAGAGCCCGTCTCTATAAACAGTCCTTTATTCTCAAAAAAGTTTGTAAAAGTAGTTACATCCATGACAAAACAAGACCCCCCCTTCTGGACGCCCACACGGGCCCCTGGGGTCATCGCTCGGGAGCGCGCCGGGTGCGCAGCCTGTGCCCCTCACGCGCCGCCCTCCCCTCGCCCTGGACGCACACGCCGGGTCCTCCTCCGCGGGCACGGCGCTTGCTCCAGCGCAGCCTCCTTGCTCCGTCGCAGGGGCAGTTCCTCCCATGGGGCTGATTGCTGCCGGCCCGGCCCGGCCCTTGCCCGCCGTCAGAGGTTGGCCAGGGGGGTGGCGCCGCTGAGCCCCAGGGGCACGTACGGGTGATGCTGTGGGAGGTGGTGCTGCGCCGCCCCGTCGGCCACGTCGCACCCCTGCAGCCCGTAGGCGGCCATCATGTCGTGGAAGTCCCCGAGCGGGGCCACGGGCGGCGGCGGCGGGAATCCTTCGTGCTTCGCCGCCGTGGCGACTGCAGGCGGGGGCTGCTGGGCCCCGTAGGCCAGGCTGCTGCAGGGAGAGAGCCAGGCGTCACTGCGCTTGCGGGGAGGGGAGGGGAGGGGCGGGAGGGCAACGGCGCCAGGCGTCCACCTGAAGGACCACAGCCTGGCAGGGTGAACTTTACTTTGGTGGCTCCGTTCCAGAGGTTTTTGGGCTGCCGTTGGGGGCCAGAGCCCTCCCACAGCGGCCCCCGGAACGGGAGCAGGAGTTGCCGGGTGCGGGCAGGCGGGGGCCCGGGGGGGGCCCTGCGGGGAAGAGGCAGGCGGCCAGTGCCGGGGCTTGCCCACAGCCTGGTGCAAAGCGGGCGGCTCAGCCAGGCCCCGGAGCAGGGCCTCCCCACACACCTGCTGCGAAGGGACCCAGCGGGCTCTCCCTGCCTGGGCCGTGGGGGCTGATCCCCCCAGATGGCTGGTGCCCGCTGGCTGCAGCCGGCCCTGTCCTTGCCCAGGGCGCACCGGGCGAGTGGGACATCCTGGGCCGAGCCAGGGCACGGCATGCGTCTCGAGGGCCGTCCCGGAGCAAGGCTGGGGAGAGAGGCCAGGCGTGCTGCTGCGGGGCGCAGCTCCTGACCTGGGGGCCTCCCGGCTCTGGCAGCCAAGCTCCGGGGGCCTCCTGCCCCCCATTTGACGCCCACGCCTGCTTTGGCTGCAGGGGGGCATCAAAGCGTGGCCGGCAGAGAGCGCACGATGCCTCCGGAGGGGCGGCCGGCAGCCCCGCAGCCAGCCGGCCGTGGGGCACGCAGACCAGGGAGTGGCCCGGGCCAGCGGCCCCTCCTCCTGAACCCGGGCCTGGGCTGCAACATTCCCGAGGGCTGCGGAGGCGAGGGGGAGCCGGGGGGGGGGGGGGGCGCTTGCCGGGGAAGACGGCGGCCTCTTCCTCCAGCGCATCCCCGGCCCTGCCCTCCCCCTGCGGGAAGAGGCGCGCACCCCCCGGGGCGCGTGGGCGGGCCGGGGCTGCATTCCACAGCCAGCCTGTTCCTCCGGTTCTGGCCGCGAGCCCCCAGACCTGTCCGGGCCTGCCCGCCACCAGCCACGCCGCCGCCCCTAACCGGGGGAGCCGGGGGGGGGGGGGCAGCCAGCCCTGCGCAAAGCCGGGCTCCTGGCTCGCTGCCCCGGCGCACCCGGGTGCCCGCCTCGAGCCCCGCCGGGCTCCCGGGCCGGGCGGCGCCGCCTGCTCGCCCCGCCCGGCCCGCAGGGGGCCACAGGGGGCACGGTCGGTCACGACCTCGGGGGCAGGCCCGCCGCGTTGCGTGCCTGCCTGCCTGGGCGGGGCGGAGGGCGCCCGAGCCTGGCACCCCGCGGGAGAGGCCGCGCCGCCCGGCCTGCCGAGACATGACGGCCGCCCGATCGGGCGGGCCGCCACGGTCCTCCGGGAGGGAGCGCGCCGGGCGGCCGCGGCCAGGCGGCTTCCCGAGGCCTGGGGTCCCCCCGGAGGGCCCAGGGGGCGGCCGGGCTCCGCGGACGCGCCGCAGACCCGCTCCGAGCACTCGCCCTGCCGCGGCGCAGGCCGGTTCGCCGGCGAGGGACGCAGCCGCTCCGCGCCGCAGGGCAGCCCCGGGAAGCGGGACCGCGGGCGCTCCGCGCGCCTCCCCGCTCCTGCGCCGGGGGCTCCATCCAGCCCGCCTCGAAAGCCCCGACCGGCCTCGCGGGGCTCCGGCGCGGCAGGCACCGGGTGCGAGGCCCCGGTTCGAAAAGGTCACAGGTG